TAGGTTCCATAATTCCATGGCACTTCGACCAGTCAGATAATGAGCCCACTGTATAACCTTTAATAAGGGGGGGGATAGTAAGTGCCGATAATCTGTGACGTCGGCATTTTTGTGGACCACCATTGGTCGAAGGGTCCAGCATATTGCTGTGACTTGTAGGTGAGGATTTTTCATATTTGTAATCTTGAAGCTCCAAATTTCAAGCCCCAATTATTATCATATCAGTTTCCATACCCATCTTCCAATCCGTAAGACGAGAAAACTATCCATCAAAATGTCTAAGAACTACGCAATTGTGGTGCAAAAGCGGGGCGAAGCCGCAAAGGAAGAAGTTCCAATTCCAAAACTGAGAGATGACTACATTTTGGTCAAGGTGGTTGCTGTGGCATTGAATCCAACCGATTGGAAACACGTCGATTTCCTAACAAGCAAAGGATGCCATGTAAGTCAGATACTGGCTGGACAGGTTCGAAACTAACACGTTCCTAGATTGGCTGTGATTATGCTGGAACCGTTGAGGAGGTCGGTAGCAAGGTCACCAAAGATTTTAAGAAGGGAGATCGTATTGCTGGATTTGCTCACGGAGGTTAGTTGTTGCTTCAGTATTCATGAATTTTCCATATCAATATGATTCTGTTGAAAATCGATGACAACTTGATTCGGTTCAGCCAACGTCACATCACGTTTTCACCAAGTTATTCGTTAACACTTTATCACAGGCAACGAGGTCTACCACGAGGATGGTGCCTTTGCAAACTACATTACCGTCAAAGGCGATGTCCAAATCAAAATCCCAGAAAATCTCTCGTTCGAAGAAGCCGCTACTTTGGGAGTAGGAATCACCACGTGAGCCTTTCACTTCCGACAAATAACCTTCAAGCCCGTACTAACAGACCATCAGCGTTGGACAAGGTCTCTACCAATCCCTTGGACTTCCTCGTGTCTCCTCACCAAGCAAGAACAACGAATCCATCTTGATCTACGGCGGTAGCTCAGCAACCGGCTCACTCGCCATCCAATACGCCAAACTCTCCGGCTTCAAAGTCCTCACCACCTGCTCTCCCCACAACTTCGACTACGTCAAATCCCTAGGCGCTGGTAAATTTCCCTCCCCCATATCCCTACATACCCACCACTAACACCCCTCAGACGAAGTATTCGACTACAACTCCCCAACCTGCTCCAGCGACATCCAAAAATCAACCTCCAACAACCTCACCCACGCATTCGACTGCATCTCCGAAGGCTCGTCACCAAAAATCTCCGTCTCGGCCCTCGCCACCGACAAGTCATCCACTTACAGCACCCTCCTCCCTGTCCCAGCCGGACAGGTCAAAAAAATCAACGACAAGGTGACCATGAAATCCACGCTCGGATACACCATCTTCGGCGAGGACTTCAAGTTCGGCGAGATGAAATTCCCGGCTAAGAAGGAGGATTTCGAGTTTGGGCAGGGATTTTGGGAGGAGGCGAGAGGATTGCTGGAGCAGGGGAGGGTTAAAGTTCATAAAGTGAGTTTTCTTTTACCCTTGTGTTAAAATGATAGAGGGTGTGGACTAACCATTTATAGCCGAGTGTTAATAAGCACGGGAAATCCTTTGAGGGCGTCCTCAAGGGTATGGATGCGATGCGTCAAGGTAAGGTGTCGGGTGAGAAGTTGGTTTTCACTATTTAGCCCGAAATGTGTGTAATGCTACAGATCGAGACTTAGATGTTAGATACTAGGCTTGGATATAAATTATTATGCCATGGACATGAGACAGCTTTGTGAGAATTGCGATTGTGGAATTATGTTGCAGGTGCTGTATGTAGTACTTACCTATAGACCTGAGATCCGCGCTCGTCGTAGACATGATAAGTGCACGGGGATGGTTGCTCAGAGAAATTGACGAAATATACGATAGTTCGCCAATTACTTTGAATAAATATAATCTCCTTAACTCCATTTAAACCCATTAAAATTTAATCTGCTTACCAGCTCTAAACTATTAACAAGTCTACAGAATGTCATGAGATTCTGTTACATATTTTCTCCACCGAGAGCTGCGTTACATTATTTTACACCTTAACCTTTGAACCCTACGAGTATTCATCTTTCCAGATAGCTAAATCTGCCATATATGAAGTTCACAAACACTTATCTATCTCGCCACCCTAACCACTCTCGTAAGTGCTAGTCAAGACGCGACGTTCATCTGATCACCTGAAATTTCGTTGGCAAATTATTATGTAGTTTGTCAATCATTCTGAATAAATAACCAATTGTTGAGATTTGAACAGCCTGAAGATTAGCTAGCAAGTGAGTCTGTCTATGGCGAGCCACTCGGGACTTTTACTACCAGCCAAGGTCGTGATACGTTGTATTTACAACCCATACGCAATTTTCATTTCCATCTCGTCCCCAAAACCCTCACAAACCCTTCCATCCACCCCACTCTTCCAACATACCACAAAACTCGCACCTTCATCCACCAACAAGACCATCATTCTCCATCGAATCCCTACTCTTCACATACCAATTCCTCACAATCTTAATCTCATATCCAAATACAGCTGCCTCGTTACGAACTCCTATGTATCATCTGAACTCCTCCTTCGTGAGTCTTTCAAAAAATCATGGATTTATATGAGCGTTTGAGGGAATGAGTAAATGGATTGCATGCGGCGATGTGAACAGATGATTCGTGGGTGTTGGCGAGAAAATTTGCTGAGGAATTGGGATGTGAAGATATAGGTAGATGTGTCATGAGTGGCCACTCCCTTGTAGAGCAATGCTGATGTCGATTTCTTATTCTTAGGATGAAGTGAACCACTGGTGTGTTATCGGTCTGACCGGACAACCACTACTACAGAATAGGAATCAATTCTGCTCCACAAACTACATTAAGTTGGTTAGTTTGAGTAAATATATTGTATTGTCTCTTTCAACAAGGGAAACTCTACTTATCGACAAAGGGGTCTTGGAAGGTCGTTTTTCTAGCATTGTTGATTGTACTTGGAGGGTGTCCTGTCGGTTTGGCAACGCACTGGTGATGTAACCCGAAGTGAGATAGTGAGATATCTGTAATTAGCATTTTATATAAATTTGATCGCTTGGCTGTGAGACAGTGTGGGAAGAAAATAACAAAAGCTCAGATTCAAGTGAACATAACTTCGTAATTCATATTGTAACCCCGTCCATTCTCCCTTTCGCTAAAGACATCCACCCTCTCCCCTTTTTAACCCACAACACCTACCATCAATTTAAGCAGTCTTCCCCACAACATTCTCACCAACAACAGCAACACCGTTTCCCCTCCCCTTCCTCACGAGTCTCAACCCCGCAACAAGCACAACCAACGCCTCAATCCCCAAAACCACCGCTAGCGTAACCATGGCACCGATAACCCCCGCCACAACTCTCGACATCCCACCACCAGTGGAGGAAGTTGTAGATGGCGAGGAAGCCGAGGTCGTAGCATCAGCAGTCGCACAAACACCCGTCGTGTTCCCACACCTCTCACACCAAGTAGCCTGATCACCAATCGCAAACTTGTCCATCTCCTCCGTGAAAGTGGTCCATGGTAGCGTGACCTCACTCTGTCCGAACAGCGGGTACTCAGTCAGCGGGGTCTCCGAAGCAGAGCCGTTAGCAAAGAGGAAGCGAACGGAGATATCTGCGGCGGACGGGTATGAAGTTTGCGAGACGGTGGCATTGGTGACCAGTTCAAAGGCCATGGAGGATGCGTAGTCGACTATGCCTGTGAAGTTGTCCGAGACGGAAGGGAGGCCGGAGAGACCGAAGAAGGAGAGGAAGGAGGCGTAGGCGCCGAATTGAATCGAGACTGGATTTGCGGATTTGCTGGTGATTGTTTTGTTGAGGTTTTGGACGATTTGGGCCTGTGGGTTGTTAGTGGACGAGGGTTTGGAGGGTCGGAGTTGTGTAGTTGATTGTGACAAAACATGCCAGAAGTGTAACGTGATGGGAAAATACTTACTGCGAGAGTGCTACCGGCAATGGCTCGAATAGGATCGCTTGCATTGTAAGCAAGGTTGTACTCGTGATCGTTGGCTAGTTGCAATAGCTGGTATTGTGTGTCTGAAGTAAGAAGATCCCCAGATTGGATAGTGGCATTGTGGATGGTCGAGACATGAACCAGATCAAAAACTATGTCATGGTTAGTTACTTATTGCAGCCGAGTCGGAACAATGTCTTACTGGAGTATGCGTTCTTGTAGGTATTGGTAGCAGCAGTGAACGTGTTGTTGATGACGGGCAGAATGCTTTGGTAGAAGTCGGTAGTCGACTTCAATTTGTTCAAGTACTCTTCCGAGAAGAAATAGTTATTGGAACTGACAACAGCATTTCCACAACCACTGTTTCCTGAAAAGCAGTCAGTAAATGAACATTAAGCTTTCACAAATCAATTACCTTGTAACCAAGCGGAGTTCTCAGAATTAGCATTGGAAGAAGCACTGGCAACAGCATTGACAGGAATCAACTGATAACCGCCCAGCGGTGCTGAAACCACCGTCCCATTAGCAAGAGTGTTAACCTGCTGCACAGGAGGATAAAGACCCTGCAAGAATCCCGCAGCAGAATTCTGAAGCACGGTATCCACTGGAGCTTCGACGCTCAACTGGGAGGTTTTGACGATATCGGAGGCCAGCCCGTAGATCTTCGAGGAGGCATTGGTGGAGACGTAGCGATCCCGGTAATAGGAGCCCGAATGGTGGACTTGAACGTATCCGAGATCTGTGAGGGTGGTGGGCGCGAAGGACTTGGAGGTTCGGTCGCCGTGGCGGTGGAAGATGAAGACTCCGAGGACGGTCTCTTGGGCATGGATGAGGGGGAGGAGGGAGAGGAGGAGGAGTTGAGGGGATAGCATGTTGAGCAGAGTTGGCTTTTGGTAAAGCTTGGAGAGGGAAGCAAGCTCAATTGAGTCTTATCAAACGAAAGAAGAGGAAGAACCAGAAAGCAGAAAAGAGCGAGGAGGGACAAAGCATTTATCTGCCGTACCTGGTGGTGGTTGACTTACACCGTTACCTTACTGGTAGCACCACTCCGAAGCCGAAGAGGGGCAGCTGCGTGGGGATGCAAAGCCTCCTGAGTAAGTCCCTGCTAGAGCCTTGTGAACAGTCACTAGACATGTCTTATCTCGAATGCTGCCGAGGAAATCGTGGTTTTTGGTGAGCTTGAGCTGCACAAAAGTTAGTGGTTGTTTAAACATCCCACTTCGTGCCAAAAATCTATGCACGGGCAGGGAAAGGAGCTGTGACAGCTTACTCCACAGCGTGTCCAGCTGCAACCGAGAAATATATGGCCAATGAAAAGGAATCAATGAGCATGAATTGATCCAATCATTCGACTATTGATTGGGTTATGTAACCAACAATCCGGAGAAGGAAATATAATAATCGTTTCCTGACCAAACAGCTGATACTTCCTTGATAAGTTGATAGAATATTTGCTGCAAGCTCCGTAAAACCTCCCCCAGCTACAGACAGCCAATGGGGTTTGCATCCCACTGCTAGAATCCGAGATGGTCGAAATAAATTGGACGCGAGCACCAGATTATCGTCGGACGGCAATCGGCATGTTCCTAAACCAGGTATAGGATCTGGAAGGTTTGATTACGACACCTGTAATTCGAGCAGCTCGGGGCGTTTGTGATGCCAATATTCTTCATATTATCCCCCATATGTCATGTACATAAATGTATGTGGATGCAGTATATCTTGCAAAATGAGATTACAGCAGCGCTCAAAGCCTCCAACTCCAATCATATTAAAACAAAACCACCACCAATGGCTGATCCAAGGTAGCCGAAAAAAGCTTGGGTATAAACAAAACGCCCCGCTAAAATAAACCCATTAACAAAATATCTTGTAGGCCCTTTTCCATCTAGGCCAAGCTGCTCGTTCCGCTTTCTCTTCTGCGATTAGGGATGGAAGGTTTAGATCCTGCCTTCCTGTGACCAGATCCATATTTTTGCTTCGCATGACCGGGGTTCTGAACCAGATCTTGTAAGACAGGTAGAACAATATAACGATGGGTACTCCGAGGTATGCGAGGAAGAAGCTTTCAGCTTGTCCTCGAGATCCTTTGGCACCATAATTGACTGGCCATGCCCCAACCCAAAACTGTCCAATGATAACGAGAACGTTGAAGATGAAGCCGATCCAAGAGCCGACCACGCCTGGCTGTGAACGAAACGCCAGTTCATCCAAAGAATGCCCTTGCACTTTCCAGGCCTTCCGAAATCGAATGTGAGCCAAACAGATAGAGCCCCAAGTGAAGATGGACGACAATCCAGATAAAGAGAGCATCCAATCGAGAACATCTCCCGATTTACCAGAGTCAGCTGAGAAGGCGATGAGGCCGAAACAAGATGCAAAGGCGATAGCAACCATGGGTCGACCCTTGCGGTCAATATAAGAAAATATCTTTGGAGCTTGTCCCTGGTCTGCAAGAGCCGCAATAGTCCTTGATGACCCAAAAATCGAGGAGTTACCAACGGATAGAACGGCGATCAAAATGACTAGATTCATCAACGAAGGAAGAACTTCTATACCCGCGTTCTGAATAGATATAACGAACGGCGAGGCTGCTGCATTAGCACTGCCTCCTGTGAGAAGACGCTTCTCGTCATATGGGACAAGAAGCCCGACGAGCGTGAGACTCCTAGTTGATTGTTAGCGTTAAGATCATTATCTAGAATGCTCGGGATCTAAGGCTATATTCTGGGGAATTGTAGTTTGCTGCTCTCTAGACTTACAAAATATAAAAAAGCGATATCCTCCAGAAGACTTGCTTAATAGCAGTCGGTAGTGACTTTCGAGGGTTCGCTGTTTCTGCGGCCGCTAATCCAACCAGCTCAGTCCCAGCAAATGCGAATGCTGCAGTGACAAATACGCTGCAAAGTCCTTTGAATCCGTTGTGGAAAGCACCTGGGTTATGCCAATACCTGGCTCCAATATAACCAGTATCCGAGCCGCCTCCGCAGTTGATGACAATACCAAGTAAACTGGAACAATTAGTACTACGTTCCTCCTCATTTGATATCAACTTACATATAGCCAATCACGGCAATAACCTTTACAATAGAGAAGAAGAATTCGGCTTCCCCATAGCCTTTCACTCCGAATAGGTTGATCAGTATAATAACGAACAGGAATATCGTTACGAATATTGCATGATCATATTTCCCACTATTATCCCAAAAGTTTATAGTAATAGATGCGGCAATAATTTCAAGGGGTAAAATTACAAGCCACTGCATAGCGTAATTCTGTCCATTGCGTTAGCACATTCCACGCTAAGCAACTGATCTATAGCTCACCCATCCCATTGCAAAACCCCATGCTGGATCCAAGAATCGGGTCGAGTATGCCGAAAAGGAACCAGCGACCGGGAAAAGGACTGCCATTTCTCCCAGAGCATGCATTGTGCAATACAACATGACTCCAATCAGAGAGAAGCATATCAACAACGAGGCGGGTCCGCCAGCTTCGAGGGACTTTCCAGACGCGACAAAGAGGCCAGTTCCTGCAAAAGTAAGCCAACGCTCATGCCATCCTCGACGTGATGTTCTCTACCTATGGACCCCCCAATCGCGATCATTTGAAGATGCCTCCCTTTTAGCTGGCGAGCTAGAGGAGAATTCGCTGTAGCTAACGCTGCGAACTCAGGATTGAACACTCGACCATCTACTCCAATCACTCCCCTTGGCGTTACCGTGAGCGTGGGATCGCGCTTGAAGCTCTCGAATATGCGACGTGGTACGCTCTGGTATACCTCGATAGCCTCTTCATATCTTGGCTCGCCCATGCTCGCACTGTACATCGGCGAGGGAATCGTATCCTTGGAATACTGACTTCCCTTTTCCACATCGTTCATCATCGAAGCCATTGCAAAAGCCGTGGGACCAGGAGGATCCTCCAGTCTGATTGTTCTCAAAGACCAACTCTAATCCACCTTCACGGTCCGGAAGTATGTTGGTCTCGCCGCGATAGGAACAGGGCACGACGGGTATCGGAGGTCGTAAAGTTGGTATATGGTAGGAGTCGTCGCCGTGGGCTATGATTGCGAGAATCACCCCGCAGACATGATGCTGCTCTGAATCGCAGGAAGAGATAGTGAGATGTTACGCAGTCGAAGGTGTGTGATAGAGGAGGGATTGAGGGACGAAACACCACCATGCCAACTCGAGATAGCAGAAGGCTGAGGTCTAGTCGTGCTCCGAAGATAAGTTGAAGGATGGCATTATTGGCACAGGAAACAGCAACCCCGAGTCGAGCCACCCACACAACCGCAACGGCGGGATTCGTATGTCGCGTGCGGCGGTGGAGGTGGTGGGCGTTTTTGAGCAGCGCTCACTGGAGTCGCTGGGAGGTTGTGCGGAAAATAGTCAGGTCCACGCCGCACTCAGCGGTCCATGCTGTTCGAGATCCAGCCGCCAAAGAGGCCCCCTTATCAGCTGCGAGAGCGAGGGTGGAGATTGGGTGTCGCGAAAATAGCACACTCAGCATGGCATACAGTTACATACACGATCCTCGAATGCACATGCGTGAGGACGCATTGTCGCAAACATATGCATAAGGCGTGGTTGGATTCTGGAGTCGTTTGTTTTGGAAATCAAGTTGTACAATGCACGAGAGTCTTTTCACGACGGAGGTACTTGACTCTCTTGCTGAGGGAAGCGACCAACTTCTTCTGTCATCATCACCAGCTTGTACATGTGACAAGAGGATTGTGCCAACAACCCCACCGCTCTCCATGGTTACCGCGAGGTTGGAATAAACGTCTGACCGTATCTTATCTCGTCAAACGTTCAACCGTTTAAGTTTACGACTTCGTAAGTTTACGCTTCTTCCCGACAGAGTTGATCCTATACTATTTTCTTCGCACGCTATTGGGAAGCACGAACTGCAGATCTCAGGAGAGTAGCCCACCCCCACCCACGAGCCTGGCCATAAAGATACGTACCCTGTTGAATCCAGCCCTTCGGAGTCGATTCTCGTGGGAGATGCCTGGGAAAGTCACACGGCCTGCTCCGTCTCGTGGTGGACAAGCAGTCGAATCATGATATTCCTTTATAACGATTGACAAAATATCGTACAATTCATTACTTCAACTGACAAAATATCGTTGTTTCGTGTATAATTTTCAGAAAACAAGACACCCAAGATATCTACTTAGAAATGACTGTTGGTAGGCTAAAGGAATCGTCAGGAGCCACGTGGACGCATTCTTGCACACTTGTATAGTTCAAGGAGCAAGCAATTCAGTTAAAGAAATAGATAAACGCTTGCTTATAGAGAAGAGGAGTAGAGAAAGAGACAAAAAAGGAACACCAGGGGCACAGTGGAATTATGATCTTTGAGGTCAAAGGCAAAGCATCACCACACTCCCACAGAGCGAGAGAAGCATAGTACATAATATCATCCCATAAAACCGAACCCAACTCCTCTTTGTATGATACAAATGCTCGCAGAACCCAAAATATGCAACAACCTTTTTTACATGCCACTAACGCCTATGATTTGCTAGTACTTTTAGCTTTTTCGATTGTCTTCGTTTCAATGATTGTAGTCTTTTTCGCGGGAGCGTCTGGCAGCAGTTTGCCGTCTTTGTCGCGCGGTTTCCTCGTCCATCCGGTCTTCATTAAAGCAGTAGGTTTGAAGCGAGGAAATATGTGAGCTTCTGTGTTAATGACGACTTTGTCAAGCGGGATGAAATCGTTGGGTGAGAATAGGAGGTAGAAGTATTTCAATGTCTCGGCCTATGAGTATGTTAGTGCCATTTCACTCATAAAGGTGGGTTAGTAGTCTTACCAGCCAGAAGCTTTCCATATTGTCCCGAGTCTGTGGCGGAATGGTATTAGCATCCGACAAACTGGTAAATCCACCTCCTTCCTCAACGGCCGTGTAATTAAGAAAAGCTTTGAACATATCCCATCCCCATTCTCGATAAATTTCATCACCTGTGATCCTCCACATGTAGAACAAACTTTCAACTGTCTCTGGGCGCTGAAGATTGTGGTTGTCTTGGGGCTTGAGGATGAAATCTTTTCTCCACGCCGCGTCCTCTCCCCCCTCAAATGTCGTTGGTGATTTATGAGGTGCAGAGGCAGGAAGTGGCGGATCGTCAACATGAAAGTGTGCAATCTCTGGGGCTAGCCCTGTTGCCATAACTCTATACATTCCAATACAGGTCTTTGTCAGCTCTCTCGCAAGTTCCATCTCCTCATCTTTCCTCGCATCCCATGTAGGAAGCTTTCGTGCCTCACTCTCGGGGATGCCCCCGGTTGCACCCAGTGCGATAGTTCCTGGCAGAAAGCAAACGAGATGATCCATTTTTGGTGAAAGCTTTTCGTGTAAGCCATCTGGTCGCTCTGCAAGCACTGTGAACTGAGAGGGCGTTGAGTAAGTAATGAGATACTTCCGGATGCCAGCTAATGCCTCGTCCCACATTTCTTCGTAAATTGGCTCATGTTTATCTGTCTGGAGGTATTGTTTGATCAGGTACTCATAGTATGAGTCTCCCCTGCTCCCGAGACGAATGTTCTCTCCTCTGAAGTGTCCATCATGAGCGTAGATGTAGATTGGAACAAGTCCACCCTCTCTTCCGTTATCGTCAATTACCTGGATGACCTTCTCCGCTGCCTCCCAATACAGCGTCTCCCCTGTGAGTTTCGTAAGATACTTCAATTCAAGCTGCAAAGTAGCGGCTTCTGCTGTCGAAGAGGCGCCACCGTCGGCATGCGAGACGACACCCTCATATGTTTTCAAGTTGACACTCGCATAAGGAATGCCGGAGTTTGACTTGAAAGCCCCCATCAGTCGATCTGCTAGATCCTTAGCCTTCTCAAGATACAGATCTTCACCAGCTGCTCCTTCATCATCGTCGGCCAGTGGCGCAAGCTCAGGGAATTCGGTTGATAGATAGTGTGCTGAAAGAAGACCTCCTAGCATTCGAATGGTGGTCTCAAACGTGTTGACCTCTTGGTCTTGGTCATAATCTAGCTTGGTGGCTAGCCATTCTCGGGCAGTCGTCAACCGGCTCGTCAAATTCATTAACATCATGGTATCAAGCGCATCTACAATTATCCAACCCATACCCTTAGGTGTCATGAACTTCCCCTTTTTAGATATTGGATGGTATTCATCGTAACCTGAACTCAACATTTTAGTAACTCATGTATATACGCACAGGAGGAAGCATTTGACATACCCCAACCATAACGAGCATATGAATCCCAACTCAGAGTAAAAGCTTCTACAACTCTCTCTCTCCGGTCTAGCCAGTCAACCTTAGAGCCAGACTTCTCGGGACGCTGCATCCAGTTCCAAGTATTCTTTGCGGACTTTGTTGCCTTCGCGTTACTTCCAAAAAACCCCAGCAAGTACAGGATGGCCAGGACAAACAAACTCCCAGCACCAAGAGCTCTTTTCTTCTTCCATATTGGCTGACGTCTCCGCGACGCTGCGTACGAGAACGGCTTGTCCTTATACATGGGCAAATCATTCCGGCCGACGTCAAAGAAATCCCCAACTCGGTCCTGCATTCCTCCTAGCACACCACCGTTCGACTGTGAGGCTGCTGAACGGGCTGTCACACCCGATGCCGCCCAAGCTCTGTTTTCGAGTTCGCGCTGTGGATTTGTGAACGACGGGACGTTCTTGGGAACTGAGAAGGTAGACATATCTTCGACGGCTTGCTTTCCAGTCTCGTACGCCTGAGCTCCAGCCTCGACGACTTGCTGGGCGACGTTCGATGCCGCTCGAGATGCTGTAGCTCGAAGGATATTGAATGCCGGAGAGCGGTGCAGATTAAAGGGGTCGCGGGTGTTCATAGACGCCGTAGGTCATCTCTGCAGAGAATCACAATTCAAAGAAACTTAAAGCATCAGAACGACCGGCTCAGTCGCGTTTGTTCGATAACACCTGAATCGTACACGCTGTCCTCGGATTCAGACCTCTAAAAGTCTTGGCGGTACTGCACGCTGCCAGACCGGAGTTATGCGGGCCGAGGCCGGTTTCCAGATGCTCTGTCTCGTGAGGCACATTCAAGTGACATTGTAAATACGATAGCCCGTGGGCCTGACAACGCCTTAAACTTATACATATTAAGGCTTGAACAGTCTCTATAATCTCTTACTCTGCTACATCTCCCCAAGTCAATTGACGAAGTATCCTATATTCTGCCAATTATAAACGGCCATTTACTTCGTACAAGCTGTAAATAACCAGCCCTCCACATCTGTGCACTGCTCTAAAATAGTGTAATACTAGATATATCTGGCCAATTATCGGCGTCGATTAAATAAAACTTAGCCTTATATAGTAAGGTTACCGTGTAGGGTGGCGGCGGCGAAAGCTGGATATTTCCATCATGTACGAAGTATTTTGTCCCACTGCAGGTGCTACAAGCATTCCTAACTGCTGCGGCAAACCTTAATTTAGCCGCGAAGGTGAAAACTACGCTGTTAAAAGTCTTCACAGAAGAAAGCTTAGTTGCTTAACTCTTTAACACGTACATAAGTCAACTTTACTTCAAAAGATGTGTTTACCGATCATAAAATCTAGAAACCTATGATTAATCAATATAAGAAAGGGCGAAAACTTGATATTGGGAGCTCGTGCTCGAATCCCCAAATGGATTCCCAAAAAGCTTAGCGAAAGTTAGCGCTAAGGTGACCGAGGCCATCCACCTCACTGCCGAAGTCTCAACTCCACCTTCTATATATAACGATAGGTCATCCGCTCGTGGCGTTAAAGTATTTGCCTATATGGGACTTCCAGAAAGAGGTTTCATCCGAAACATGTCAAGTTATACATCGTCGCTGCAGCAGAGCTGGGATAGCAGCAAAACAGGTTTCCCTTTCCGTACTTCGTGTACTGTTGAAATTCCTCCTAGATGGAAAATACCTCTTCTTTTCAGGGAGATGGTCAGTCTACGCCACTGCTGTCAGGTTATATCTGAGGTTATCCCAAACCCAGCGGCGATAATTACCAGGAGGTGGATTGGCATGCACAGCAAATTCTATGGCAGGACCCACTAACACTGTGGACTTGTAGGTCAAGATGAAGCCTCACTGACCCCTATCCTAGAACGTTGATGATAGCGAGGTGCATATATTCCGTACCCTCAACTGCGTGCCCTTTGGCCTTGGTTATTTTGAAACTTTATCACGCGCCTAGGATGATGGGTTCCATATCTTCTAGCCCTTTGAAGCACTTCCGAGGCTGTGGGCAGCGGACTTCCTGTCAGATTAGACAGTACGTTAAAGATCCCTTGTGTATAGGGATTGAAAAAATTACTGAATGCCTTGGTCTTCTCGGTCGAGATAAAGTTTTTGACAAAATGAGAAAGCTGTACGACGTAAAATACAAGTAACAGTCTCACTCAAAATAGCCCTACCTTTGGCTCGACCACTGCTATGGCGCTTCTGAAACTCGGTCAGTCTACCATCGTGATAGAGCTGAGCACGAGATGGAACCGAGTGTTGGGTACAAGTCCTATTTTAATCTTTCTAGCATATCACAGCCCTTGAAAAACGTACACGACTCCGTAAAACATCTAGTTTACAAGCCTGGCGTAGATACTTCATACTCTCATCAGGTGAGTTGCTACTATTTCTGTCTCCGCTACAATCATCCTACCAAAATCCCATAGCAAAGTCTCGAAGTATTTATTTCGAGAATTCCATCCGATAAGTCCTATAAATGCCATCAATCACTCGAGGACGAAGAACATTTCTAAACACTACAACACTACAACACTACAACACTACAACACTACAACACTACAACACTACAACACTACAACATTAACATCATCAACAATCTATCTTTCCCACAGCTATCAACGCCCCTCTATACATCATGCATTTCTCTTACATGGCCATCGTCGGAGCCTTGCTCAGTACCGTTATTGGCTCCACCATTCCCTCCCTCGATGACAATGCTCTATCATCACCGGTAATCGACACCCGAGCAGCAGGTGGTGGCCATTTCTCATTGGAACTCAATGCCGGCACCACGGAGGACGATTTCCAAGAGCTGAAAGACGATTTGCGTGAGGAATTTCCAAAGGTTTTATTCCGATGGACTAAAATGGAGACGGTCAGAGTCAAGAAGACCGCGACGGTGACTCTTACGGAGAAAAACAAAGATAAAGTGAAGGACTTTTTGGATGATCATCCTAAGGTTTTGAAAGCGAAATGGGTTCTCGACGACGTCGATCAAGGACTCATGGATAAAAGAACTCCTGGGGAAGACGTAAATACCAAGGATCACGATCTCACGAAACGACTCGCAGTGGACTACTTGATGATACAGATAGCACCTTGGATGACGGGCGAAGATTACGAAACCCTGAAAGATGATATGAAAGATCATTACAAAGGCGACACCACATGGAGTCGATTGTCGACACCCGAAAACGTTGCAATTTTGACTGTTGGGAAACCCAAGCATGCACAGATCATCACCTGGCTTCGTAACAGGACAGATCGCCCTAAAGTTATTACAATCCGCGAGGTACAGGGAGGCCAAACAGTCCAAACCATAGACAATTTGTGAGAACTTTTTAGACTCAGGTATGTAGCAACTTGTAAATTCAATTCAAAAGATGGGGTACATTTACTGACATGTAAATTCCAGTTGATGGGTGGCTTTCGAAGAAGATAGCTTCAAGGATGTGGCTGGCCAGATGACTTTCGGGAACATGGTGTGACTCTTCGAGAAGTTGATTGGGAATCTGCTTTTTGGGGAGTTGGCACGGTACACGGCTTTTGAGTAGACGGTATGGCGTTTCGGTGTGATTTTCGAGGGAAGGGTAGACTATAGATGGCAAACAAATAAACTTTTTCTTTTCTGGTTATATGTCGACTCTTTCCTTCAACTGCTTAGCTCAGCTCGCGGGGGACAGAACAAGTATCAGTTAGCTGCCAACTAATCTTTGGACCATACAAGTCCTCTTCGAATTAAGCATAAAGGATTGTTTCCTCCAACTTATTCTTTTTCAAGTGTATTTTCATACTCGCTTAAGCCCTCAACTTCTGTAATGCCGTTATTCTGCTTCATTGAATGCTGGTCAAGCACATCCTGTGATCAGGTATAAAAGTGAGCGGGCCATGCCAGCTTTTAGAGCAAGTAAATATTCAGGGTCAATCCGCTATCACTCGCTACAACTTCTAGGTAACCCAGGGTCATGGGATCCTCAATTGAGTGACTTTGCAATAGAGTCCGATACGGGCCGAGCCGTATGGAATAGCATACGGCGCAGGAGGGCCAAAACAGAACTTGACAAAACCCTACACCTTGGCATGCATGGTTTTACTTCGTACAATACTCCAGCGGTAATTATTACGCCAAGATACTTTTACGGGGACTTTGAACTTCAATGTCTTATTGGCTAATTATAGACTGTACTTTATATTCTAACGTCTGTATTGGCTGTACTACAGCTCGGGGTGGAAAATACCAGAATTCTTGGCGTAATAATTACCGCTGGAGTATTGTATACCCATGAATAAACACCAGTGGGGCGTCTGTGCTTTACACTCGACTTTACCTTTTACAGTAATGATGAGTCGAATCCTCAACTGCTTATTGGCGAGAAATCCTGGTTTACCGTAACTTCTAGAAGACCCACCGGTGTTTATTTATGGGTATACGAAGTAGTACTTCGTCACAGGCGTAATAATTACGCCAAGATACTTTAGCAGGGACTATAATCTTTAATAAATTATTGGCCTATTCTAGCAATACTTCGATTATATTAGCTGTTCACATCTCTATAATAGAAAATACCAGAAATCTTGGCGTAATAATTACCCCTGTATAATAGTAAGGGGACGTATATAATTATTATATAGACCTGTAAATACTTCTATAACCCCTAAATAAACCGTAGTAGGGCGTCTATATACCTACGCAGAAGCTTCTAGAGGCTAAGGGGCCAGCTAATACAATATTTGTACTTTAGTCGCCGGCGTAATAATTACGCCAAGATACTTTTACAAGGACTATAGGTCTTCGTATCTTATTAGCTTATTCGACGCTATTCTTTAGATCTAAACAACTTTATTGGCTATATTACACGTTAGTATAGAAAATACTAGAAATCTTGGCGGATTTATTACCCCTATAGTAGAGTATAAGGATAGCCGCTTTTTAACCCTTTTAACTAATTTTAACTACTTTCTACTTCGAAGTACTTCGTATACCCCGAAATAAACAACTATAGGTCTTCTAGAAGTTACGGTAAATAGGGAATCTTGGCTAATAATTGTAACGATTCGGTTCTACCCGGGGTAGACTGGGGTTATCGTAAGGTTAGTATATTGAGAAGTAAGCACGAGATTGTTACTTATAGATTTAGAGATCTATTCGTTACAATAAGAGTAAGTTAAACAGATAATATACTATTACTATAATGAGTTAAGTATAAAGCTCCTACCTAAGGAAATTATAATTATTATATAGAACTTCCTTTCCCTAAGTTCGATAGGTTCGCTGGCCGAACTCGTCGAACTCCTGGCCGGTTCGACAGGTTCGCCTAGCGAACTTGTCGAACTTCCTTCGTCACGTGACGGCACCCTAAACCGGGGCCTATCCGCCAATATAAACACTACTAACTTTAACCGAATTAAGCTATTAGACGGCGGCCCTAGGAACCACTCGATTCTCGTGACCTCGTCTAATCTTAGGACTTCCGGTCCTAGGAGTATTACGACGCCGAGGCCGACGCTACTCGTGATACTATCCCCTATTCGGACTAGCGGGTCCGTACGCTTAAGTACGACTAAGAAATACGTCGGTTAAAGGCTATAGACTTCCCTCCCTTCTAATATACTACCCGACCGCACAACTAGACGTTCTAATATCGTAGCCCTCGGAAAACAAATTAATTTAACTAGGAAGAAGATAGCGCCTTATTCTCGCTACAAAAAGACGGGAAAAGAGTATATAGTCTCTCGGGACCCAAAATATAGTCGTTACGGTGCCTATACATCCGCGGGTAAATCGTGCGATGTTAAAGAGATAAATCGAATACCCTTAGTTCGCGACTAGGAGAGTATCGAGGTTTAGGAAGAGAAACTTTTCCTAGAGGACGAGTAGACTAAGGCCTAGATCCAGGAGATACTAGCTCGTCGTACTCGTATCCGCTAGTAGTAAAAGTTCCTTCGGGAACGGAAATAAAAGATAATCTCGGTGGGTCTTAACTCGCTAGACGAGTTAGACGAGTTAGAGAGGAAAGAGTAGTAGGAAGAAGAGGAGAAGAGGGAGAAGGAGGAGAGGGAAGTAGAAGTGGAACGACTACTAGCCCACCCTACTCCGCCCGACGACTTCTCCGCTTACGACCCGTCGCTACTCGACCTGAATTTCGATCCCGGGTCTTTCTGGGAGGCCCTAGATACTAGCGGTAAAACTTCTTAAGCCGCTTAGGGTAGTTAAGGTTGTTTATTGATTCCTATATGTTTTCTAATTATAGGTAGTCCTTCCATTTTATTAGATAACGTGGTTTTCCTCTAACGAGTTTATAGTCTAAGATCTTCTCGACTTTATACTCGGTATTAGGGTTAACTAGTTCTATTTCTGTAACTAGAGCTAGTAGCGCTCTAGGCGGTACTAGTTCGAGGAGAGATATATAGAATACTAGAAAGATATTTATACTTTTCAGTAGAGCTAGTTCGTAATTTAAAGGTCCTTTATATACTTTAATTTTAAATAGTCCTAGTTTCTTATTATCTAGTTTATTACTTAGTCGTTTTATTTAGATATTTCGTCTAACTAAATAAACTCTATCCCCCTCTCCTAGCGTAGGCTCCTAACTACGTTTCTTATTATAGTAGGACGCGTTTCTTTCTAAGATAAACTTAAGTTCTTCGACGAGTTATTTATAAAGAGAGGAAAGGTTATTAACGAGGATCCTTCCTACCTAGTTGTCGATAGATATATTATACGGTTCTTAGAATACTATTTTCTTATAGCCAAAGTTAGCTTTAAATAGCGACACCTATATTGTCTCCGTAGCTGTGCTATTATACGAGAACTAGGCTATTAGTAATAAGGCGACCTAATTGTCTTACTTATAGTTTACGTAACATCTTAGGTATACTTTAACTACTTAGTTTATTCTTTCGTTACCTCTATTTGTTTATAGATAGAACGATATTAATAGCTTTCGCTTTATTCCTATATAGGCGGTTATAGCTATCTAGAATTTAGATATAAATAGTTTATCTCGGTCTAAGACTATTTCTTCTAGGGTACCGTAGTCCGCAACTATATACCGTATAAAGGCGTATACTAATTCCTTAGTAGTACTTAACTCCTTATATAGTATTAGGATTATATACTTAGTAAGTCTTTCTATTATAACTAGGATCGCGTCGTATTCGACTCCTATTATTAGGTCTCTTAATAGTAAGAGTTTAACGATAAAATCCCACGATATTATTTTCTATAGTTTCTTCGGAATAGGTATTTGTCCTATAAGTCTATAAGGTATATAGTGTATAGATTTATTTCGAATATAGACGTCGTATTCGGTTACTACCTTCTTAACTAAAGTTCGTAGCTTATCGACGTAATATTACTACTAAATTCTCTAGAAGGTTCTCCTAATTCCTTAATAACTATATTCTAGGGCTTCGTAGAATTTCTAGATAAATTCTAAAGTATACGAGCTTAGTACTTTAAGTTTTCCGTCTTTATATAGCGAGCTCTTCTTAGGGGCTACTAGTTTCTTGTTCTAGGCGTCTATAATATTATCGTACTATAGGCCTCGGACTTTAGTAAGGGCGGTAATTACCTTAGAGTTAGGGATAAGATTTCTATCTTAATCTTCTTTAAGGATAGCTTACTTTTTATAGATCTTGTCTCCTTTATATCCTAGTTGACGGCTTAAAGCGTTAGCCCGGGGATTATCTATTCCCTTAACGTATTTAATTATAACATCGAAATAGGCGAGTTCTTCGGCCTATTGTACTATTCGTCGATTATCTAATTTCTTTATTATTAAGAATATTCGTAGGTTCTTATAATCTATAAGAATAATAACTAGGAACTTAGCTCCTTAAAGATAAATCTTCTAATATCTTAGCGCTTTAACTATAGCTATAAGTTCCTTCTTATAGATATCGTAGTTCTGTTTAGCCGGCGAGTATTTCTCGGAGTAATATATAACAGGGTATATTTTTCCGTTCTCGTCTAGTTATAGGTAAATAGTACCTACAGTAGTATCTAAGGTATCGGTCTCGACCGTACTTAGTTTGTTAATACTAAAACTTCTAATAACTAGTTTCTTAGTAAACCGGTCTTTTAATTCCTATATAGCTACTTTCTCTTTTCCTCCTATAAGGAAGGGTACGTCCTTCCTAGTAAGATTAGTAAGCGGTCCTATAATCCTTAAATATCCTTCTATAAATTGTCGGTAGAAGTTTCTAAAGCCGAGGAATAACTAGACGTCTTTAACGTTTTCTAATTCTAGCTAGTCCTTTATTCGTTAGATCTTCTCTAGGTCGATATTTATTTTTCCTAGTTTAATAACGAACCCTAGGAATTTAGTTTTCTAAGTACTAAACTCGTACTTCTCTAGTTTTAGTCTAGAGTCCACCTTAGCTAAGGCTTCTAGGACTAAGCGGACATATTCCTTAT